GATGTTAGACGCAAAGCCGATGGGAAGATCTCGTTAGAGCTCTACCTGATCAAAAGGTTGGCACTCATGTAGGTGGAATGCTTGTATGGCACATGGTGTCACCTTCGATGAAATGGGATAAGAAGATGAAGATTGTATGTACGATGAAGTGTCTGAAGTAATTGATGGTATAGACAGTATGAGGCGAAACGGTTACCAGTGTGTGAGGGAGTCGATCAAGACCTGCGTTAAACTCATTTTTGTTCTGGATGGCAACAGGCGTCACTGATGACCTATACAGAACAGCCATCTTAATCTATTGCTCCGAGCCAAATTATTTTCATGATTCTAAACGCTTTGCTGACTGAAACATGGCGAATTGCCCCTGGCAGGGTTTCCACTGCCATACTGGTTAAATGATAGAGATCAGACCAAGTGCGTTATGCAATATACATAGGAATGGTTTGGTCTGTTATAAATTATGCTGCATTCCTTGTTTGCTCATTATTTGCGCGGGTTAACAATATAAATGAGTTCGCTAAAATACTATGGTGTAGTTTCTTGCCCCACTCGTATACTTGGCATCCAGCAGCGTAGCCATATTACACTATCAGTGGAGTCACTCTTCGTTTAAGTCGACATCTGAAGGCAGTGTAAAGCACGGAAATACTCTCAAAAATCTTAGATATAATCAATAGAGTCAGTAGAGCATCCGTGTTGGAAAAATTTGGCTCTCTGGTTAGAAAGGAATTGGATGACAGAGCTTTAGACGCGTTTCTTTGTGCTGTTGTTCTCGCAACCGGTAAAGAGTACCTAGCTTTGAAAATGAATTGGTGATTACTAGTTGGAATGTGTTGTGACTTATGGTGCGAGTTTCACAAACCACTTGATTACATCGAAATTTTCAGAATGAGCGCATATCAAAAAATACAGCTCTAGAAGCAGAAGTGCCACTTTGCAACTCCCTCCCTTGGCGGAAGCTGTTTCTACTGACAGTTATTGTTCGGCAGTTGAGGAAAACATCTAGCCTCACAGTTAACTGGATGAAGATTTTTAAGGATTCGGATCGGCTTCAGTAAATTACAGTAAGAAAACTATTTCTTTCAAGATCTCTTACCTGAGGACGTGTCGCGATCATGATACTGCTCCTTCAGTTCCTCTACCATTATAAGAAGTCATAAACGGCGTCACCAAGAAACGTTTCTAGGGAATAAGCATGTAACGATGATCTTGAAGCTGAAGCCGTCACTCAATTCAGAAAAACTACATGAGTAGAAAGTATAAAGTTCTGACTTGCATATAAACTGTATTCCTGTACACTGTGTAATTCTATGGCTTGCATGTAAACTAAATGGCCTGTTTAATTATCTTAAAATGTTTGACCTCTTAGTGATCCTTGCTGTAGAGAAAATTCCGTCTAGTTATGTTAATCAGGAGAAAAGAAAAAGAACATGATACATATATGCGTTGCCGCAGTGTTACGGAAGGGAAACCTGTTTCGTATCTGATCTCAAGCGGCGCAGTATTAAACTCTTCTAGTCAGTGGATTTATGATGTATTTCATGTTTTCCACTATTTCTTACTCACAGTAACCTATGTGGGTGAGGGAGGGGACATTTAAGCATGGCAGGACATTTTAGCCTCTGCGGTAATTGCTGCGTCCTCCATGATAGACTACCGACTAGATCAGTAGTTTGCTCATCATCAGCCGTATTTTAGAAGCTTGCTCCCTCATTAAGCTCTCATTAGGCAATCAAAAATGGATTCATACACGGGAGTCTGTTAACATATCACTTAACTCTTCCAGTGCAGTCGTTGTGATAACGTTCCGCCATACGAACTCATAATTTGTTCTGCTGAAATAATTCCTTTCACCTTTACGGTTGTTACCAGTATAGAAGTATCGTGTGCAAAGAGGAGTTAGTTATTTAACTTCGCATGTAAATATTCCTTGTGATACCTGTTGTTCAGCTTTATATTTTGTTTATATTTTCATGTTTATTACTTGTTGTTTACTTGTTTATTTCTGTAGGGCAAATGCACACTGTCTCATCCACCGGGCAAGGAAATTTATCACGCCGATAAGTTGTCTTTCTGGGAAGTGGATGGTGAAAAAAATACGGTAATCATTATTTTTGTCGCTGTTTGTTGTGTAATCTGTTGTTTCAGGCTTTTTGTCAGAATCTTTGTCTGTTTGCGAAGCTTTTCCTGGAACACAAGACTTTGGTGGACCAAGTTGAAGCGTTCAACTTTTACCTTATGACCGGTTCTGAACAGGAAGAATATCAAATGATTGGATATTTTTCCAAGGTATGATAGATAAAACTATGCTAGGCATGCATTAACATATGCCGCTTCGCATCTGATTAGGAGAGGAACAGCGTAACAGATAAACTTATGTTTATCTCTAGCATTAACTTTAAGCTGGTATTGACTGTTATGACAATTGATTAATCTTTCTTCGTCGTTAACAGGGATCACCACTCTCAAGCCTCGATGTCTCGTCCATCTGTTGCGTGTGATTTCCGGCTACAAGTTTCAATATCTCTCGTTTAACTGATGGCCACAAGTGAGCTAAGGTCTTCCATTTGGGCCCTGGCTGTCCGTTGCGTATCAGCCCGTCACTGCTTATGTCAGTTGGTCATCCGTGAGTCGTGCGATGTAGTACGCCGAGATCTACTCGACCTGAACGCCGAAGACTGGGGCAGTTTTTGTTTGTGGTTTCTATTTCTTTCGAACTTGGCAGTTCGTTCTGGATACTGTCCATGACTGCCAGGCGCTTCTGACAGAACGCCCGTTTTCCCTTCACTTTAGCTGAAAGGAGGTTCCAGGCGACGGCTCTGTAATTTTTGCTCGCTCCTAATTTTCCCGTGGGAAATTACATCTGCATTTTCTGTGGCGATTTCTCCTCTGCATGTCAGAGTGATGCGTCATGTTACGGAAGTGCAGTAACATCTGTTTGCGTTTTCCATGCAGTTTTATATGTAGTGAGTAAATGTGGTACTGAAAAGGCAGCACAGAAATGTCGTATTTATATGCACTGTAATACATTGCCCTATAACATGATATGCCAGTACCCGTATTTCAGCCCGTTTATTACTAGTCTCTGTCAGAGTAAGGGATGCGTGCAAATACTCCTTTTCCTATCATGTTCCCTTTAACAGGGGTCTGTTAATCGAGTCAACCTCCTCCACATTTTTGTCGCTCCTTATATCTTCAGAGAATCCTCGCAGGTTCATGTCGCTCTTGACGACATCGCGCTACTTTTTCTTCGATCTTTCCCTTCTCTTTTATCCCAGAACTAGAACAAATATTTCCTACACAAATAAATCCATTACAGCGAAAAGCCTGCTAGGTTGCAGTTCGTGCATGTAACAGTGTGCCATATTTCAAGGCATGCTGCACTTCCAGCATCCTCAAGTCCATAATGTTGTATGAAATTGAATTTCTGCAAACCACCATGTCATGGTATTTGAGGACGTTTAGTGGGAGGTGCATCTCGTGATATTTTATTCGCTAGAACAATCACTCTTTTATTACAAATCGTATTTACATAGCTGGGACTCATAGCGTACCATATAAGCATGAATTCATTCGCCAGGAATGCTAAAAAGTGGATAAATTTTTCAAGGCAAGATCCTCCTAAACAAATAATGCAATTGAGCGATTTAGGACCCCGTTAAATATGGTTTCACATTAACTGTTCGGCTTTTAACTCATTCAGGCATGAAGTATTGTCGCTATTCATAGCGAAAACTAACCAACACTCAAACGGTTATGTGCAGATCACCTGTAGCTTACCTTTTGTATACCATGAAGCGTTCTCTTCATTTCTAAACTACTTTTTTGTCCTGTTTTTGTTAAAAAGGCCATATTCCTTTTCCGTTTATCGCATATTACTTTTTTTTCATTTAAATTAATTTTTATCGTTTTAAATGTTCCATTAAAAAGTTTAAATTTAATATACCTTTAGAATTGATTAAACAGTATTTTACTATTATTATCTGAGTTAACGCAAAAATAACCTCGGTGTTGTGGGTTTATCGGCAAGCTGCTACCACCAGTAAGAATAGCATTCTCCTTTCACTTTTCCGGATTTAGACGGCGAAGGGGCGCCGTCCCTTCTAATCTAAGGG